ATCTTTTTAAAAGATCCGCCGCCTCGGCGGCCATCATATCTACAACTACCCAGCATCCAGCACTGTTCTCATCATTGCAACAATGCTTGTGTTGTAGAATCCTTTGCAACAAAGCTTAGGTTGCAGAAATCTTTTGCAACATAGGTGATGTTGCCGGGTATTTTTCTTCACTATTTTTGTAACATCGGTGTCGTTGCGGAATAAATTTTGCAACACAGATGATGCTCCAGAAAATATTTACAGTTTTTCATCTGCATTTTTTCCAACATGGGTGTCACTGCGGGATGCAATTTGCAACACAAATGATATTGCATAAAAGGACACGAAAAGGACACGCGTCACACAACATAGGCGGCGGATTGCTCGCGTGCGATCTGCCGGCTAAAGGCAAGCGTTTCCCATTTAGTAAATTCGATCAAAGCTTGTGACTTGACTTTTGACGAAACCAATGTGATCAATACCAACATTTTCGTTTTTTTTAGCCTTTTCATAAATAACAATACTGCATTTTTTTGTTTTCCTTTTTCCGTTTTTATTTTTTCAAATTCGTGAACTTTTTTCTCAAATTCATAAAGATTTATCAAAATTCACGATTTTTTAAGACTATGAGCATTTTTCAAATTCATGATTTTTTCCTCAAATTCACGAACATTTTTCAAAATATGTGAACATTTTTCTCAAGTTCGTGGACTTCTTTTGCAAATTGACGAAAACAATCAAGTTCGTTTACCTTTTTTCTCAAGTTTGTGATTCGTTTTCTTTCAAATTCATGAATTGTTTCTCAATTCGCAAATATTCTCAAGTTCATGCATGTTTTTTAAATTCCTCAAATGTATGAATGTTTTTAAATCGGCATTTTTCTGAATTCATGAACTTTTTTCCAAGTCACTGTAATTTCAAATTGAAAACAGTTTTTCCAATCTGTGATCTTTTTATTACTTCACCAAAATTCCAAAATTAATATGAAACCTATCGGGTTTCTTCTGAGTTGGCAAACCAATAGAACGAAAAACAAACGAGGAAAAATAAACTGCGGGTTGGCGACCGGACGAGAGGAGCTGGATGAGGCACGACCCATGTGGCGCGTCATCTATCACGGCGGCACGTTAAGCTTTGTATAGGAGGAGCAACTAATCAAGGGGTTGTTGGGGAACGTAGTAATTTCAAAAAAAATCCTACGCACATGCAAGATCCATCTAGGTGACGCATAGCAACGAGAGGGAGCGTTGTCCACGTACCCTCATAGATGAAAGCGGAAGCGTTATGACAACGCGGTTGATGTAGTCGTACGTCTCCACGATCCGACCGATCCTAGTACCGAAAGTACGGCACCTCCGCGATATGCACACGTTCAGCTCGGTGACATCCCATAAAGTCTAGATCCAGCTGAGGTCGAGGGAGAGTTTCGTCAGCACGACGGCGTGATGACAGTGATGATGAAGTTACCGAAGCAGGGCTTCGCCTAAGCACTACAACGATATGACCTAGGTGAAAACCTGTGGAGGGGGACACCGCACATGGCTAAACAATCAACTTGTGTGTCTATGGGGTGCCCCCTCCCCCGTATATAAAGGAGTGGAGGAGGGGAGGTCCGGCCCTCCCATGGCGCGCCCAAGGGGGGAGTCCTACTCCCGGTGGGAGTAGGATTCCCCCTTCCCTAGTTGGAGTAGAAGAAGGAAGAAGGAGAGAGGGAGAAGGAAAGGGGGGCCGGCCCCCACCCCAATTCGGATTGGGCTTGGGGGGGGGGTGGAGGGGGCGCCCCCACCTTGGCCGCCTCCTCGTCTGTCCCACTAAGGCCCAATAAGGCCCATAGACTCCCCAGGGGGTTCCGGTAACTCCCCGGTACTTCGGTAAATGCCCGAGCTCACCTGGAACCATTCCGATGTCCAAACATAGCCTTCCAATATATCGATCTTTTTGTGTCGACCATTTCAAGACTCCTTGTCATGTACGTGATCACATCCGGGGCTCCGAACATCCTTCGGTACATCAAAAACACATAAACTCATAATACCGATCGTCATCGAACGTTAAGCGTGCGGACAATACGAGTTCGAGAACTATGTAGACATGACTGAGACTCGTCTCTGGTCAATAACCAACAGCGGAACCTGGATGCTCATATTGGTTCCTAATATTCTACGAAAATCTTTATCGGCCAAACCGCATAACAACATACGTTGTTCCCTTTGTCATCGGTATGTTACTGCCCGAGATTTGATCGTCGGTATCTCAATACCTAGTTCAATCTCGTTACCGACAAGTCTCTTCACTCGTTCCGTAATACATCATCCCACAACTAACTCATTAGTCACATTGCTTGCAAGGCTTATAGTGATGTGCATTACCGAGAGGGCCCATAGATACCTCTCCGACAACCAGAGTGACAAATCCTAATCTCGATCTATGCCAACTCAACAAACACCATCGGACTTGTATGCGTCAACTGAATGTTTTTTTTTTGAGAATCACCGGGGGAGGAGTCCTCCACCTGAATATATTACTCAAAGTGGCCATAATGCCAGGAGAGTGATCCAGTTTATAAGGAAAACCGGATCGAAAACCTTAACAAATTGACCCGTTTATGAGGAAAACAGGCCGAAAACCATAGGATAAAAGAAGAAGAGAGAAAAATGCCTAAGACAAGGCTCGACCTAGGTAGCTGACCAAAGACCAACACATAAGAGACACAAGTAGATGTGGGATGTCCTCAAGGATCACAATACCAAGACTTCACAATCGGCCTAACGCACCACACCGGCGTGCGTATCAAACCCCACGGCGCAACAGAGGAGCATCCATAGTCAACGAGTGCCTAAACCAAACACGAACCTCAACAGGGAGCTCCGCCGCGGAAATTTGAAACGATTAACAAGTTGGGGAGGCATCCTGCGTCATCATTGAACAAAAATGAACCGAGACGACACCAAGAGCACGAAGCTCGCTGCAACACAATGGTAGCCATGGGGGGTCTTTAGCATGCACACCAAAGGAAATTGCTTGGTCCAAGACTCGTCGAGCACGCCACACTCAGGGAACCAATGTTGCAAGGGAAGGGGGAAAATGGCAACGCTTCCAGGGAAGAGCACGACGCCCACAGGCGCCGTCATTACCAGCGCTGACCAAGTCAGAGCGGAGCTTTCGCTCAATCCCTACCTATCCCCGGCAGCCCACCACGAGCAAGAGAGGGAGTCCAACGCGACGCCTGCAAGCAGGTCAAGGACGCCCGTAGGCGACGCCGTCGCTGAGCTTTCGCACTGATCCCCACCTCAACCTGAGAAGCCCGGATACACCAACGTTTCAACAGCCAACGGGCAGTACGAAGTCAGAGACGAGGCTCAACCTCAGGACACCAACTCTGGCGGAAGGGAGTATACCTGCGATGGACGGGGTGAGACCGCGCGAGGACGAAGTTGGATCTGCTGGGAGAGATGGGGAGGACGACAGCCATGGGAAATCCCCCTGGGAACCGTCGTTGCAGAAGCAGGGCAACGTGGAGATGACCAGAGGGGCGTGGCTTGATGGTGGCTGATGACCGGGATCCCGTGCAGCCAAATGCACGGGGAAGCACAGCATCCCGTCGGAGGCCACCGCACCCGCATCTGGGAGCAAGGGCAGCCCAGATCCACGCCCACCGCGGCCACGGGCAGCACCAGGCGCCGCCACGTCGGCGAAATAAGCCACCCAGCCGCGCCGCCACACCCGTCGCCCCCGCTGCAGCACTCGCGAAACCGCCGCCAACCGCCGCGAGCCGAGCAGGAGGTACCCCGCCGTCCGCCGTCCGCCCCTGGGGCTTCGCCCGGGGGCCTCCTCCGGCAGCGGCGAGAGGAGGGGAGGGCTGGGGGTGGCCGGCGGCTAGGGTTTGACGGTCCGCCCGTGTCACCCTGGATAGAGCGACGCGGGGGAGGGGAGCGTCTCTGGGCTAATGACTTCAAGCCGCGTCAACTGAATGTGGTCCGTCATTGGTCAAAGTCCTACACTGTTGTTTTAGTATGATTTCATAGCAGTTCGTTGAAGCCGATATAAGACTTTGTTTAGACTATTTTGATGATACAGTGGTAACGTCGTGTATAGTGCATGACTCGTATGTGTGATACTTCCTCCGTTTCTAAATATTTGTCTTTGTAGGGATATCAACATGTGACTACATACGAGCAAAAGGAATGAATTTACACTCTAATATATGCTATATACATCCGTATGTGGTAGTCCATTTGAAATCTCTAAAAAGACAAATATTTAGGAATGGAGGAAGTAGATAGTTAGTACCCAACGCCAGAGATAGCCTAGCACCGATAGGTCATGGTTCCTTCTTCTCTATATAAAATAATCCAAGATTTTCAATCCCTTAAAAGTATCCAAACATTTCTCCTCGATGTTTCCTGGTAGGCACATGACTGTACTTTGCCAGCAGATCGATGGCGACTGCAATAATGGGTAGTGTACAATCCACGAGGTGAGGTTGATGAGTGCTCGAACAATGTTCAAATAATGGAATTCTAGTCAAAGTCAAAGAACAGTAGACGTGTACCCAGCTGGCATATGGTCACACTTGAATACTTTTCTTGTCGAAGAATAGTAGAACCGCTAGGAAGATATGGTTCATAGTACCTTCGTCCTGATTTATAGGTCCTTTTTGTAGTTTGTGTTAATTTTGACTAAAGATTTAAATAACAAAATGTTAATGCATGTCAAGTAAAGTTATCTTATTGGATTCGTATTTGAACATAATTTTCAAAAATATAATGTTTGGTGACACGCGTAAACATTTTGTTAATTTAATCTATGGTTAAAATTTGGCACGAAATACAATGAGGACCAATAAACCTAGACGGAGGCAGTACTTCATAGATCAACCCAATAATTTGGTCCACATGTCCTCAAGAAGGCATATATAACAAGAAAGATCAAAACTCAAAAGCACACGTTAACCTAGCTCTACGTGCAAACTAACCGGCCTAATTGAGCTGATCGCTCGACACCATGCAGCTAGCTAGGACATGGCCGGAGGAGACGAGCTGAGGCTGCTGGGGACGTGGGCGAGCCCGCACGTCTTGCGAGTACGACTCGCGCTCCACCTCAAGGGCTTGGGCTACGAGTACGTGGAGGAGCAAGGCCTCAAGAACTACAAGAGCGATGAGCTGCTCCTCAACAGTAAGCTGCCGGTGCTGACCCACGGCGGCAAGCCTGTCTACGGGACGTCGTTGAGCCTAATCCAGGACCTCGACGAGGCCTTCACCGGCGCCGGCTCCTCCCTCCTCCCCGAAGGCCCCTCCGAGCGTGCTATCGCTCGCTACTGGGGTGACTTTATCGATGACACGGTATTGTACTCCCTCTGTCCCAAAATTTTTATCTTAGATTTGTCTAAACACGGATGTATCTAGTTACATTTTAGTGTTAGATACATCCGTATCTAAACAAATGTAAGACAAAAATTTTGGGACAAAGGGAGTATCTTTTTCTTGATAACAGAAGTCTTTCTCATTAATCATATCATCGCATCAAGCTGATTATATATAATTGCATAAGAGTTTCACCTTGGGGTCTCTGTGTTATATATAAGCATGTCGCATGTGTGATTGTCATTAGTTTTGCTTTCTCTTCGACTTCGTATATGCTTTGCACTTTTTAATGACGGTTTTAGTGCTGGTCCTGTTATAACTTGTGTCCTGTGCATCTGCAGCTCGTCAAGGCGATGGAGAAGGCGACATGGAGCGTAACGTGCAGGGAGAAGGCAGGGGTGAAGGCCCAGATGGCGGCCGCTATGGAGACGCTAGAGGGAGCTATGAGAGAGTGCTCCAAGCCCTTCTTCGGAGGCGATAGCCCCGGATATGTGGATGTGGTGCTCGGTGGCCTTCTTCCATGGCTGTGCGTCACCGATAAGAGACAACCCAGCATGAAGACCTTCGACCCTATCACCACGCCGCTCCTACTCGCATGGCAGGACCGCTTCTGTTCGTTGAAAAAAGTTCAGGGACTCATGCCAGATGTGGGCGAGCTGGTCGACTTAGCCAGGCCGGTGCCTACTCACTGCTCCCGTGAATCCCTGCAAGTTATTTTAATTTTGTCTTCACTTCTTGTGCAAATTGCGACTGCATGTAGTAGATGATTTTAGGTGGCGGCAGAGGGGAGCTCCATGGTGATTCCTTTTGTTCTGACTTCGACTGCCTAGTGCTGAGAATGTTACCGTATTGGTGTTGCTACATACTGTATGTTGTTCTTTTCGTCTGCGCTCTTTCAATGAAACGTGGTCATACTGCGGCTCATGGGATTGTCCGGTATTAGCCACTGTGAGGCATACTTTTTTTGGTTTTCTGGGCCATTCACCTTCAGCGTGTTGAGGGTCACTTGAATAAAATTTGATTGTGTTTATCATGAGTAGCAGGATACACACACAGGAAGGATGGCACTTCCTAGAAAGAGCTGGATGTCACTATTGCCTTTTTTTGCCAGTGGAACATACAACTCATGTGGAGAAATGTCGCTTGCCCGCGGGGAAATATTTTGACACCTGAAAATGAAGTATTAGTGTTTTTAGATGAAAAAGTTGGTTCTGACCCATGTTTTGTCTTGGATGTTGATACAATGATGAAAGACACGCGAAAAGTAGTTGAGAAATAAACAATTGACATTTAGCCGGGCTATGGATCAGATAATGTTACGTCTAATGGGAGTATCATAACTAGTATTATCATGCATGCCAACTGGGCAATTTTGATGTGGTAACGTAGAATTAAATGGAGAAAGAGAGGGTCGAGTATCATTTCAGGAATGCCAAACACATGTATGATTTTTGTGTACCCTTTTCTCTTCAAGATTCAGGCCCTCACACGTGATGAATATATGTTACTAGGAGCACATCCAGATCATCATTCTTGACGGGGTCTCAGAGGCCGTTTTTCTGTAATATAACCAAGGCATTTTCGGTCTCTGAGTTCAACTCACTGACCGAAGAAGCCACCTCATGACCGTTATTACCTAAAGACACCACCAGATCTCGATGATTTCATCTTTCTGGACAATTTCACCTTTTGAAAATTAAAAGAAAGAATCAATCCTTTTATTATAATAAGCTCCCATGTTTCTTTACAATGCTCCTCATCTCTGCATTGACGATGTACACAACGAAACTCTATTCAAAATAAATGACTAACACAGGGCACGTCAATCCTGTTATGTGTCGCCATATTCCTCTTTATTTGAAGTTATTCGGTAAATATGGATGGGCGCGGCAACATGCTCATCAATGTTGTAGTAATGTTTAAGGTGTCAGGGCCACACGGCTTGTAGAGGGTAAGAAAGTACCATGTGACGACTAACACAGGGACTCCCATCACCAGCACCCTGACCATACTACTCTTGAAACCTTTCACGAAAACATATAGAAGAAACAGCGTGGGCATAGAACTGGTCACGAAGTCCAGGCCTTCAAGGACATAGCAACCCCAATACGGTAATGCTCCTGGAGCCAACCAGTGAAGGCGAGAACAAGGGTTTCCGTCCTGGGGATCTCCTTTGCCCTCGGCTCGACCCAACCAAGTGAGATAGGACGCCACCATTTGCAGAAGAACCCCAATCATATATATGGAAACGGCGATGCCCAATGGACCAGAGCTGCGAGCACATGTCGTAGGCATGGCAAAATCGACCAACGCTCCCACATCTGGCATGACCACCAGGACTTCTTTCAGTGCAGAAAAACGGTCTGCCCACATAGCGAGGAGAGGCGTCATGGATGGGTCGTCGAAGGTCTTGACACCTTGCATCGCGTCGGTCTCGCGCACCCACCCAAGAAGACCACCGAGTATGACATCCACATATCCGACAGTGTTGCCTCCAAAGAAGGGATTCGAGCACTCTCTCAGGGCTCCCTCTAGGGTCTCCACCGCGGAGGCGACCTGGTTCTTCCCCTTGGCCTTCTCCCCGTCCGTTTTGCCCCATGCCGCCATGTGCATCGCCTTCACAAGCTGCATATACACAGGGTACAAGCTATAATAACACCGCCGTAGTATATAATTACCATAAAAAAACTCAAAGCATATGAAGACGACGAAATTAATTAAAGTCGATCGATCATGCGTGTAGAATGTTTTGAAGTCTTGTGCGGCTGATGGTGAGACCAGTAAAAAAAGTTCAATCGTCTCAAAATTAGCATAATACCGTGTCATCGATAAAGTCAGCCCAGTAACGAGCCATGGCACGCTCGGAGGGGTCGTCCGGGAGGAGGGAGGGACTGGCGCCAACGAAGGCCTCATCGATGTACTGTATCATTTTTTTTTTGGAAAAGGGGGTTTACCCCGGCCTCTGCATCAGATCGATGCATACGGCCTCTCTTATTAATGAAATAAAGAGGTTCAGAACATAAGTCTTACAAACAAATGAAAAAAGGTAGCACGTAGCTCACACAGAGCAACGACTAAAAGACACAAACGGGAAAAGCCACAAACCGGCTGGCATAATATGAGGTAGGTAAACTAGATGCCTATCCTATTACATGATCGCCATGCAAACCGGTTGAAGATATCCCGCGCAACCGTCTCCCACCGGACAGATCCAGTAACCAAACGCTCCCTGGCCTCCGTCGGAGTGAGTAAGGACCAAGTACGGATCAGCGCCGTAGCCCGGAACAACACCTGCAAAAAATGAGTATTTGATGTCCTGTTAAAAACCAAGTCATTCCTGCAGTTCCAAATTGCCCATAATAACGCACATACTCCTACACGAATTTGTCTGGCTGTTTCGGGCTCCGTCCCGAGCAACCACGCCCCAAAAAGCGTGTTTACCGATCTCGGTGGAGTAATATTAAAGGCAATTTGCACGGTGCGCCACAACCCTTGTGCCAACGGGCAATCAAAAAATAAATGTTTGATAGACTCATCCCGATCACAGAAGCTACACCTAGTAGATCCTGTCCAGTTGCGCTTAACTAGATTGTCCTTTGTAAGAATTACCTGTTTATGCACAAACCACATAAACACTTTAATCTTCAAAGGAACCTTAACGTTCCAGACTACATTGGACGTAGGTATCACGGATGAATTAATGATATCAAGATACATAGACTTGACCGTGAACACCCCAGTTCTAGTTAGCTCCCAATACAACTGGTCGGGCTGAGGATTTAGCTGCACCTCCATCAGCCTACGGACCAAGTGAAGCCATGCTTCCCATCTCGGTCCAGCAAGCACTCTTCTAAACTGGATGTTAAGGGGAATCGTCTGCATTACTGTGGCCACAAGGGCATCCCTATCCTGAACAATACGATACAGCGCTGGATACTGAGAAGCCAGAGGCGTGTCACCCAGCCACGTATCCTTCCAGAATCGCGTATCAGCTCCATTACCAACAATACATTTCGTTCTGTTAAAGAAAGTGGATTTAGCCCTCATTAGCCCTTTCCAGAACGGCGAGTCTGTAGGTCTCATAGTGACTTGGGATAAAGTCTTTGAGTACAGATATTTACTCCGTAAAATCTGCGCCCATGTTGCCTCTGTCTCAGAAGACAGCTTAAACAGCCACTTACTCAGGAGGCACTTATTTTTAACTTCAAGATTTTCAATGCCAAGTCCTCCTTGGTCCTTTGGTCTGCAAATAATATCCCATTTGGCCAATCTATACTTCCTCTTAGATTCATCACTCTGCCAGAAGAAGCGAGACCGATAAAAGTCTAGTCTCTTCCTCACCCCAACTGGTACTTCGAAGAAAGATAGCAGAAACATAGGTAAACTCGTGAGCACCGAGTTAATGAGAATCAACCGGCCTCCATAAGACATGAGTTTTCCTTTCCAACTACTTAGTTTTTTCTCAAATCTATCCTCGATGGTCTTCCATTCAGCATTCGTTAACTTACGATGGTGTATTGGAATACCGAGATAAGAGAAAGGAAGAGACCCACTCTCACATCTGAACAATTGTGTATAAGCTTCCTGTTCGTCTTTGGCTCTACCAAAACAGAACAACTCACTTTTATGGAAATTAATCTTCAGCCCAGACAATTGTTCAAAAAGGCATAATACTAGTTTCATGTTCCTCGCCTTGGCCAAATCATGTTCCATAAAAATGATTGTATCGTCAGCGTATTGCAGGATGGATAAACCACCATCAACCAGATGAGGCACCACTCCCTCCACCTGACCAGCCTCTTTGGCCCTCCCAATCAGGATCGCTAACACATCAACCACAATATTGAACAGAATAGGTGACATAGGATCGCCCTGTCGCAGACCCTTGTGTGTTCGGAAATAGTGGCCTATGTCATCATTGACCTTAATGCCAACGCTACCTTTTTGCGTGAACGTTTCCACCTGATGCCTCCAGCGCTCATCAAAACCCTTCATTCTTAAAGCTTGCTGGAGGAACGGCCATTTGACTTTATCATAAGCCTTCTCGAAATCCACTTTGAAAATAACCCCATCTATTTTTTTCGTATGAATTTCATGAAGCGTTTCATGTAGGACCACAACCCCCTCTAGGATGTTCCTATCCGGCATGAAAGCCGTTTGCGTAGGTTGAACAACAGCGTGCGCTATCTGAGTCAGCCTTATCGTACCAACCTTGGTAAAATTTTTGAAGCTGACATTGAGCAGGCAGATCGGCCGAAATTGTTCAATTTTGACGGCATCAGTTTTCTTAGGCAACAACGTTATCGTGCCAAAATTCAGTTGGAACAGCTGCAAGTGTCCCGAGAACAAATCATGGAACATTGGCATCAGGTCCCCTTTGATAATATGCCAACACTTCTTGTAAAACTCAGCCGGGAAACCATCCGGCCCCGGCGCCTTATTACATTTCATCTTGGCAATAGCCTCGAAAACTTCCTTTTCCGAGAAGGGGGCTGTTAACACATCGTTCTCCACTGAAGAAAGTTGAGGGATATCGCTGACCCTAGACTCATCCAGGGATACACTACTCTCCTCTGGTGGTCCAAACAACCTTTTGTAATATTCAGTAATGTATGTTTTCAGGTTGTCTTGGCCAACTATTGTACCCTCCTCTTGCTCCAGCTGGAAGATCCTCTTCTTCCTATGCTTGCCATTAGCAATCATGTGGAAGAACTGTGTGTTCGCATCCCCCTGGACAACTTTTCTCACCTTTGCCCTTAATGCCCACTTCAATTCTTCCTCCCGGAGCAATTCCTTCAGCCTCATCTCAGCCTCATGCTTAATATGAAGCTCAGTGGGTACCAGAACCATAGCTTCTGCTTTTACATCTAAGGTTTTTATAAGTGAAAGGAGCCGTTCCTTCTCAACCTTATACATTCCACCTAGATGTTTAGCCCACCCACGAAGGAAGCTACGGAGATTCCTAATCTTGTTCTGCCACCTCTCAATGGCACTTCTACCTCCTACCTCTTTCGCCCATTCTCTGGCAATAAGATCCAAAAATCCTTCTCTTTCAAACCACGCCATCTCGAACGAGAAAACATTTTTGTTGCCCGAGTATGTAGCCCCGCCAGAATCAAGCAACAACGGCGTGTGATCAGAGATCCCGCGAGTGAGCGCCTGAACAGTTACCACGGGAAACTTCTGTTCCCAAGCAACACTAGCCAGAACCCGATCCAACTTCTCGTATGTTGGATTAGGCATCACATTAGCCCACGTGAACTTCCTACCTGAAAGCTCAATTTCTCTCAAATCTAAGCTTTCAATAATGGTATTAAACATAAATGACCATCTCCCATCGAAGTTGTCATTATTCTTTTCATCGCGTCTCCTAATTATGTTAAAATCCCCCCAACCAGAATTGGAAGCTGCTCAGACCCACATACTCTAACAAGGTCTGCCAGGAAATCTGGTTTGAACTCGGACTGCGCTGCCCCGTACACCGCCACCAAAGCCCAGTCAAAACCATCCTGTTTGGACCGCACCCTGAACTTAACAGCAAAATCCCCCATGACCACACTTCGAACTTCAAGAGAGTCACATCTAACACCCAGTAAGATACCCCCCGACCTACCTCTAGGCGGTAGACAATGCCAGTCAAACTCAATCCCTCCCGACAAAGTATTGAGAAATTGAGGTGAGAAATTTGCTCTACCCGTTTCCGACAGGGCAATAAAGTCCAAACGATGCTCAATAGATGCCTCCGCAAGGAACCTCCTTTTAGCCAAGTCCTTAAGACCTCTGCTATTCCAAAAGATCCCTTTCATATTTCATCATGAAATTTTTTAGCCGTACGAATCCTAGCACTCCTACGGACTACAGACATCGGGTAAGTTTTGCGCTTCCACTTGCGCTTAGGGCTGGACGTGCCCTCCCGGTCCATCGTACTCGTAATCGATGGATTATCTACTTGCGTCCCGATATTCTCATCGTCCTCCTCCTGCTCCTGGAGGGGCGGTGCTAGATCATCACAAAAGTTCTCAAGTACTCGAACTCCCAAGGCATCAATTTCAGAGTCATTCATAGGTTTGACCGCAGCTAATTTACGAATTACTTCTAAAGCCCTCTCGGCTTCTAGATCAAGCAAATCGTTAACAGAATTAGTAACTTCACCCTCATCTCTACCAAGTGAAATTCCTAACTGTTGTGCCTTATCCATAATTTGATCATGCGAGAAATGCAAAATAGTATTGGAGGTATTAACAGACATACCAGTAGTGACTTGGACGTCACGAAGCTTGGCCGCCCTCGCGGCACAGCGCTGCTGCATGTCGTCCACCTCCGGATGGCTCTGAAGCCGACAACTCATGCGTCGACCCTCAGCTGCCTGGTCCGGGATCCCGCCAAACATAATGACCTCCTCCCGCGAGAATTTATCCGGCGAGCGACCACCTGTCACTCCCCGAACATCCACCCGGTCGCCACCAGGTGAGCGCGGTGAGCGCGCCGAGTCCAGCACTGGGGAGGAGAAGGCCACCTGCCCCCTCCCCCCATCCACCCCGGACCGCCTGTCCGGAGTGCACGTCGCCATCTCAAATATGGCGCCCCCCTCGGGCACCGAGGCCGACGGGGGCGTAGAGGCCACCGGCCCCACGCCCTCCCGCCGAACCTGCGCATCCGCCAGAGGTGATCGCCCAGCCACAGGCGAGCGAGGAGAAGGCTCCCCAACCGGAGGATGAGAGGGGGCCTCCAAAGAAACCCGATCCGGACTCCCAGATGAGGTCAGACCACCCGCCTGCACCACAGCCACGTCACCACACGCTGATGTAGACGAGTCAATATCCAAGCTCTCGGGCCCACCGGAACCCTCCACCTCCGTACCCGCAAAATCCAACGGCGGTAAAGAAAACTCAATCTCCTCACCCGACTCCACCCGCTCGCTCCACAGTCTCGGAGGAGCGGAAGCTGGACCAAAGGAACCAAAACGCAGAGTGGTGGTCGGCACAGATACTCCAGGCGCCGTCCCTCCTCCTGCTGCCCTACCCGTCGGCTCCGGCCTCTTGGCCACCTCACTGACAGAATCATCGGCCATCTTTTCCTTACCCGCAGTATCATCATCACCTTCACTCATGTCATCACCAGTGGCCGCTGGAGCCTCTGCGAAGAGACTATCATCCTCAAACTGAATCTCAAGAGTGTAAACCTTCCCTCGAAAGGCCCACTTAACCATGTCGGGTACATAGTCGATGTCCAGAATACTGACCAATAGGCGAGCTATCCCATGAGCTCTAGTGAAATCCATATCAACTCGCTCGGTCTTACCAACCATAATACCGAGACTAGCCACCACCGTGGCATCCCGCAGCAACTCAGACGGAGCCCCCGAAAAGCGCAACCAGGCCTGGATAAGGGGTGTACCCTGGGGCTCAACCAGCTTCCACTCGTGGAACTCAAGAATGGCCTCAGTACCCAAGACCTTACACATCCCAAAACTCAGCAACCGCTGTATATCCTCCACAGAAGGGAACTGAACTCTGAAAGTGTTGGTCTCCAGCCTGACAAGCTCCCAATGGAAGTCACCTGGTGCCAGCTCCCTGAGACGCTGAATGATCTGAGCCTCGGACACTTGCCCTCTCGTCACTTTCACTATCCCAGTTGTCGTACTGTGCTCCTCCTGAGGAACCTCCCTCTCAGTCGGTGATTCAAAAAAAGTGAGTTCAGAACAAAAAACACCATAAGTCATGAGGCTCGGTCTCTGCTCCCGCACCAGCGGACACACTCCAGATTCATGTGCAGGCTTACCACAAGAATCACAAAGAGCCGCCACACACTCAGCAATGAAATGTCCCTTATCGCCACATCTATAACAGAGCATTCTCTCTTTTTTCTTAGCAAACTTAGCAGCCCTGTCAACCTCGGATCTGTCAGAGCCATCCGCCGACATAGCCTGAGTCTCGGCGTCGATCGGAACCTCCACAGCGGCCAGTTCCGTCACAACCTCCATCGCCTGGCAACCCAAGTCAGACTCCTCAGCACTGGCATCGACGACCGTCTCAACTGTAGTTTGATATTGTCTTGGACGGTACCGACCCCCTCGGCCTCCTCGTCCACGATAGCCGCGAAACCCGCCTCTGTTACGATTAGCTGGCCCAGTCGCCCCTTCGACAAAACCACCAGACGGCCCCAAGAAAGGCCGTTCAGCCGAACCATCACTCTGCCAGGCATATCCCCGTCCGCCACCCGTAGACGAGGATCCCCGGTGCTGTCCCTCACCAAATGCATTGAAACCATCGTCACCCCACTGTCCTCGAGGTGCCGCTCGAACATCCGCCCTAGCCTGAACCGGAGGTGGCTTAGCCTGCTGCAACACTGGCGTCGCCGCATCGCTGACCTGCCTAGCCACAAATAGCGGCGGTCTAGCTCCCACCTGCACCACAGGAGGCTGGGCATGGGCACCCAGAGGCGGCCGAGCGAGAACACCGCGGCCCGCAGCAACTCCAGTCGTCGGCGGCCTAGGAGCACCACGGCCCGCCGCCGTCACCGGCGCAGTCGGCCGGACCGCCGCGACGCCGCGGCCCGTAGGCTTGGCGACGGCAACCGCAGCACGCTGGTCGCCGGCAGCACGCCCTGCAGCATGGTCCGCTCTGGGTGGAGGCGCGCCACCACGCCCAGCCACCAGCGGCACGCCGGCGCCGCCACCACCATTGCCCGCATGGGTGCCGCTGCCGTTGCGACCAGCGGCCGTTGCCTGCGCCAGTCCTCCGCGGCCCGCCGCTGCCGGAGGAGCCCCAGCGGCCGCGGCCGGAAGAGACCCCCGTCCCGCCATCAGACGAAGGGTAGGTATACGAGCAGCCCTACCTCCGCCGCGATCGAGAAAACAAGGACGTCCGCCTCTGTGTCGAACCCTATGTCGAAACGATCTCGTGCATGGGGTTGTAGACTTGGGCTGCATAACAGGCTGGGCCTCATACCCATCGGTCTGTAACCCAACGTCAACATTGGCCGGTTCACTCAGAACCGGCCCACCCACCAGCTGACCGAACTTACAGCCCAGCAATCCGTTCAAACGAGCGATCCTATGATCGCGGATCTGAGCGCATCGGTCGATCGCCGGCGCCGGCACCGTGGCCGCCGACGACCGCCGAGCCTTCTTTCTCCTTACTATCTTCCATGAATTGTGAGTGATGAAATCGGAAAGAACAGGTTTAGGAAGACACACCTTCGGAATCGGTCCCTTCCATGGCCTGACCGCCGATGCCGCATTCCTCCGATGAACTACACGTCGCACCAGCTCCTTCCTCTCGTCCGGATGTAGCCCCACCCGCGCCGGATCCTCCACCGGCACTACCGTATCTACGGTCTTGGCCACATCATCTTCATCATATCCTGCATGAAAAAGATCGCCTATCAAATCCGAAGGTGTAGGCGAGTGCGGCGAACCTTCTGAGCCTTCGTTGTCTCCGGCGTCATCCTCGTCGTCCGCCTCCAACAGAGCCCAAAAACGGCCCCCGATGCCTGCCCGCGCAGCCGCCGCGGAGGGACACGGCGCGGCAGCGGCCTCCGCGGTCCCCCGGGGATTCGCTCTAGGAGTCACCCGGGGAGTCGCCCCAGCCATCCTCGTTTCCGCTTCCGCACGAGCCTAATGTATCATGCTCAACGACTTCCCACGGATAGGCTTGCCGCCATGGATCAGCACCGGCAGCTTACTGTTGAGGAGCAGCTGCTCCCCCTTGTTTTTCTCGAGGCCTTGCTCCCCCTCCATCTCCACGAACTCGTAGCTTAGGCCCTTGAGGCGGAGCGCGAGCTGCACTCGCAGGACGTGAGGGCTCGCCCACATGCCCACCAGCTTGAGGTTGTCTCCTCCGGCCATTTGGATCAACTCAAACTTTGCACGTAGCTAGCTAGCTCTGTGTGTTTTTTCCCTTGTTAGTTTTGGGTTGTTTGTTGGATTGATAGAAGGAGAAGTGTGTATATGTAGAGTTGTAGACTAGTCGAGCAGAGCAAAAGGACGATGGACACGAGGGTCAAATTGCTTGGCTGGTCAATGAACCTACCTAGTAGTAGTACGTATTATTCTTCGCTTTGGAAAAGTTGGCAAGCATCCACACGGTCTCTTGAATGACTCAGGACAGGTGCGAGCAAATTCCAGCCAACCAAGCTGTTTAAAACAAATCACGAATTTTGAATAATGTTTTCGGATTGCAAAAAAATCTTGGATTTTAGAAATTGTTCAATCATTTGCAAAAAGATCGAATTTGGAAAAATGTTCACAAATAGATAATTTAATTCAATCTCAAAGAGGAGCTATCAATAAATATAATTTAAAATATCACAAGCATCCACAGGTAGGACCCCTTTTAGAGTTTGGCACAGGGCCTTAGATTTTGCCGGCCTGGCCCTGAAGAAATCTATCTCTCAACGACCAATGGCAGCTTGGGTTTCTCAAAAAAAAAAAACCCAATGGCAGCTTGAAGGAGGGCGGCAACGATGGTGGAGTCGAAGGTGATGAAGAGCGGAAAGACAAGGTGCAAATGCTCCTGCGGCATTCACCTTCAAATTCCAGCCCCATGGCGTTCCCGCAGCCGAGGAACCATCGCAGCACAACTTGGCCAGACTTGATCCTCCACGACCCAGTCGGCGCTGATCCTCCACGACCCGGGCACCCGCATATCCGGCGGGACCGGGTACTCGGCCTCGTAGAGGAGTCGAGCTTCTTCCTCGTGAAGGTGGCGGCGGCCGAAGTCGTTTGCCGCCGCGCCGTCACCTGGGAAGCGCTCTGCCATGGTTGAACTGGAGACGGCGAGAGGAGAGGGAGGAATGGTGGAGAGTCTGTGTGTCGCCCGCGTGCTGGGGGTCGGCTTATATAGCCGGGCGTGCCGCGAGTACGCGTGGCCGCCGTGTGTACGCGTGGCGGGCGAGGGACGCGCGTCGTCCGGTCTTCACTGCGCCGACTGTGAGGCATCAATGGAGGAGGCTGACCGGCGCGGCAGCGCGCAGCAGCTTTGGCATTGATTCGCCACGGGAAACGAGGCGATGAGGACGACGAAGGGGCGAGAAGAGAGACGAGTCGCTGGCAAGGAGGGCCCGCGGCTCTTTGGCGCCAAAAACGATTCGCCCGGCGCCCCCGAGCGCCCCCCAGCGCGCCGGGTTCGGGCTGGGTCCGCCGGCGCCAATTTCGGCCCGAGCCGGCGAAAAATGGGCCCTTGGGGGCGCGGCTGGACCGATTTTTTGGCGCCGGCGGCCGAAAAGTTGCCTGGGGGGCCTTGTTGGGGGCGCGGCTGGAGATGCTCTTAGCAAGCAGTCTGGTGTATTTGGAGATGGAGGTAGTAGATAAGAGCATCTACAGCCCCAAGTAGCTAATCCGGCCCCTCAAACGTCCATGAACGCGATCGGACGCGTCCGTGGACCATGACCAGTCATCCCTCACATTGCTGCCTCCACATCCGTCTTCCTCATATCCAAACCCTCATGTCCATGCAACTCATGCAACGCAAAACATAAACCTACATAGATCAACACACTAGCAACAAGTGGACATAATTCAAACATAAATCGGACATACACATACTTGAAGTCATCGGACAACCAAAAGAACTAGTGTTCGTCGCTGGACAGTACCTAATTAAACATAAGAAAAACTAGATAAAATGTAGTCGAAGAAGGGCGGAGAAATCACCATTTCCTTGCTGGCACCTTCCCCTTGCGGTCTCCGGCACAGTTGTACCCCTCCATGTAGGCGTCGGTGGCTAGAGGGGCGTTGTTGTCAAAGCAGGAACTGTTGGTGAGGTCTGAGTCGTCGTCAGAGGAGATATTGCTGGTCATCATCTGGATGGCGTGGTCCCGCGCCTTGGCCGCCGCCTTTGTCGTAGCCTCACGCTCCGACTGCTCAATGGTGAGTTGGAGCGCTTTGGTGTTTTTTACGCGAAGCCGCCGCGCGTCCATCCTTGCCGTCATGAGGGAGCACCGAAGGATCTGGAGGGGCATGGAGCACAGCGCTGCTGCCGTCACTTGCCATAGATCGAAAGGGGAAGGGGTGGGGAGAGGAGAGAAGACGGAGTGATAGTGGAGTGGAGTGTGTTGACTTTAGTCTACGGTTCGTCTGAAGTGGGGTTATATGTGGGATCGGAGTGGACCAGGCTAGGCCGGTCCGATGTGATGGACGCGTCCGGACCTCGCCACACCGGCTCAAGATTTGGGCTGAGGGGTACCAATTATTGTGAGCGGGTACCAACCGCATGTGATGTTTACACACATGGACGGACCTGTTGCTTGGATGACCAATGAAGACAACTGTTGTTCAGCGTCCCGTCACATTGAATTGAATGAAATGTGTAATGATGGCCATCATAATATGGCACCGCCCATCGCGCGCCGTTGGGGCAGCTGTCGGTGCTGTACACCGTACCCACACGAGTCTCTCTCACTGGTACTACAACCATTAACATCGGGTAGATGAGTGCAGCTACCACATTGTCGAGCAAGGACTGAATAAATCAATATCGACTCTAGCTCCAGCCTGCTGCCGCACCAGGCACCACTCAAAAAGAGACCACTGAGCTAGCTAGCGGAAGAACCATCGAGATGGAGGATGCTGTGGTGAGCGCGGCGACGGGGGCCATGGGACCGGTTATGGGGAAGCTGGTCGCTCTGCTCGGCGATGAGTACCGGCGCCTGAGGAGTATACACACCGAGATCAAGTCCCTCACTCGGGAGCTCGAAACCATCGATGCTTTCCTGGAGAACATGGCGGAGGCGGAGGATCCGAACCCGCAGGACAAGGCGTGGATGAAGGAGGTGCGGGAGCTGTCCTATGACGTCGAGGACAACCTCGATGAGTTCATGGCCCGCGTCATCGCCGACAAGTCCTCCAAGCCGGACGGGCTCGTGGACAATATCAAGAGCAAGCTCAAGAGACTCAAGGCTCGCCATGAGATCGCCAAGGCGATCGAAGATCTCAAGAAACAAGCCATGGAGGTGAGCCAGAGGAACAAGAGGTACAGGGACCACGCCATGTCCAACACCAGCAGGTCGCCCAAGATTGTTGACCCCCGAGCTCTTGCCATCTTCGAGGACGTGTCTAAGCTTGTTGGGGTCGATGGGCCCAAGAAAGAGCTCCTCCAACGCTTGGCCGATGACCAGCAACAAACAAAGTTGGTCGCTATTGTTGGGTTCGGAGGATTGGGCAAGACAACAATTGCCAACCAGGTATATCAAGAGCTCAAAGGGCAATTCCAATATCGTGCCTTCTTATCCGTGTCACGGAATCCAGACATCGTTAATGTTATGAGTAATATTTATGGCCAATTGAATCATGGGTATTCTGGTGGCGGCACGGAGAACTTGCAGACACTCCTCGCAAAGATTTTGGAGTTCCTCCAAAACAAAAGGTAATGATTCAAATCTTATTTCCGGCTTCTCATTTTATCATCCATATATTCTGCTATCACAGCAGTGCCAGTGCACCATCTTTTCTTTTATTTGCGAGAGCACCATCTTAAATGTTTCGAATATATACGAGAAATAAATTTATGTTTTCTGTGATTTTCATATGTGATTAGTGATTAAGACATAATCGTGCGTGGTATTTCATTAACCAGCTTGAATTTCTGGACAAAATGATTATTGCGCCATTTGGAAAAGCACTGCAGATAATTTATCATTACACTGAGTTAAAGTTTGGATCATGCGGAAGCAATCCAATTTCTTGTTAGATTGTACTATCATGGCATATGCCTCCAGATATTTGAACTAATTTATGTATCTATTTTTCTGTGCTCAATAAGCATAATGTGTATTTAACTTTGCTTTTCTGCAGGTACTTAATCGTTGTTGATGATATATGGAAGGTGGATGATTGGAATGCTATTAAGTGTGCTTTTCCAACAACAAGTCCGGGGAGTAAGATAATCACCACTACTCGTATAAATGATGTGGCTGAATCATGTTGTTCATCATTTAGTGGCCACATATACAATTTAAGGCCTCTTAATATGTTGCAATCGAGACAATTGCTATATGCAAGACTATTCAACTCTGAAGAGAAATGCCCTTCGGACCTTAAGGAAATCGCTGACCAGATTTTGCAGAAATGTGATGGCGTACCTTTGGCAATTGTTGCTATATCTGGTGTCTTGGCTCACAAGGCAAGTAAAAAGGATAAATGGAATCAAGTGAAGGATTCAATTGGTCGTGCACTAAGAAATTCTAGCGTTGAAGCAATGGTAAATATAATAGCCCTTAGTTACTTGGATCTTCCTCGTCATCTCAGAACTTGTTTGTTGTATCTGAGTATATTCCCAGAAGATCATATTATCGAGAAGGAGAACTTGATAAATAGATGGATTGGTGAGGGATTTATATGTAAAGAGAGCAGTCATACAATGTATGAGTTGGGAGAGATATATTTCAATGACCTCATCAACAGGAGCCTGATCCAGCCCACGGGGATTGGTGGGAAATGTAGCGAGGTCAAGAGTTGCCGAGTTCACGACACTGTTCATGATTTCATTGTGTCGAAGGCCGTGGATGAGAACTTTGTTACTGTAATAGGTGTACCAGCTGGTGTAAATCATGATCCACAGATGAAGGTTCGTCGTTTGTCCCTGCAGAACAACGGAGAGATTCCGGCGTGTCTGATTGTATCTAATGCTCGGTCACTCCATGTTTTCGGGCGTAATGCGAAGATTCCGTCTGTGTCGCAGTTCGGGCTCTTGCGTGTCATGGACTTCGAAGACTGTTGGCAGTTAAAGGATTATGACCTTGCTGGCATCGGAAATTTGCTGCACCTCAAGTACCTGAGGCTCAAGCACACAGGTGCACTCAAAGCGCTTCCGAAAGAGGTAGCAAGGCTGCAGGAGTTGCAGATTGATATAGATGGATCCGTCTACGAGATGGAATTCCCAGAGGCCTTCCAACGGCTGGTATGTAATGTAGCTCTACATCTTAATGGGGGTCGTAAGGTGCCGGATGAGATAGCATCCGTGCAAGGGCTAAGAGTGTTGGAAGGTCTCAGTGTGTACCTTCAGTCAGTTGAGTTTCTCAAGGGGCTTGGGCTACTGAAAAACCTAAGGAGGCTGGGCATAGTATTGATATACTACCATTGTGGCCGTGGTTGGGAGGCGAATCTGAAGCAGGCACAATCTTCCGTGTGTGAGCTGGGAAAAGCAGGACTCGAGTCTCTGCACCTTTACATCGACGAGGAAGCGGTTGAGATCTTGGAGATGGACTCATGGTTCTCCGTTCCTCCTTATGCCCTGCGGGAGCTTGTCATCGAGGGGAAATCAGTCACAAGAGTTCCGACATGGATGGCCTCGCTTGTCAACCTCGAGAAACTGCACCTCCGCATGTATAAGATGCCTGAGGAAGAGGTGAAGATCCTGGGTGGCCTGCCATCTCTGCGTCATCTCTGTATCGAGTGGGCTGATTTTGATTATGACGACATGTTTGACGACCCCCCCATGGAGGTGGTTGAGGCTGCTGTACGGAAAGCCATGGAAGACCATCCCAACCGTCCTACCTTGGTCTGGACAACTGAGCGGGACCCATTGCCTAGCTTCTTGCAGGTATGGATTTCTTTCCCTGCAAACAACTCTTTCTTCGGAATACATTTTTCGTCACATCCTGTCACGATATCTAGCCATCTCGCAACAAACATAATGTATCTTGCTCCCTTCATAAAAAATATAAGACCGTTTACAAAGGCTAGGCCATCTTATGTAGTAATCTAAACACTTTTATATTTCTTTACAGAGGAAATAATTATCATCTACTGTTTTCCTAACTCAAGTTTTTTTTTGTGCGAATCCTAGCTCCGAAGTTAAACAGGCATGATATCAATCTTGTACGGAAGTTGGGGCCATCTTACGTTTGCTACTACTAAGTCAAGCCGCGTTCTTTCTTCTGCGGTGTGCCACAACGAAAGAAAAGCTGAGGCAGAGCAGCCAACCCAACTCAAGTTCTTGTTACATCCTTGAATTAGTACTATTACATATTTGCATTTAAATCTACATTTCCAAAGAAAAAAATAAAGGATCGGATCAGATCATTGTATCGTCAAATGTCGCCGCTTGAAATGACGTTTTATGTGAAATGTGAATCGAGTAAGTCAACATGTATTGGACATTGTGTTATTTATGATCTCTTTGCATGCGTTGGTGTTGGTTGTGTGCATCCTAACTATGCAGATGTCGGGTGTGTGCTCTTTCGGCTTGTATCCTCTTGATGCTCCTCTCTGAGCCAATAAAGTCCACCCTTTGTCAAAAAAAATGTTTTCTTTCAATCTTCAATCTAGAGGCTAGGGGCATCTCCAATGACAACCCGTAAATTTTTCACCCGCATCCGTC